AATGTTAACAGCGTGGAGCTTGCTGGAGGAGGTGTTGCTTGTTCAGGAAGATGGGCAGAATGAATCTCAATGGAGAGACAGAGCTTATATACCCAGCAGCAGCCGCCAGTCCTCTATGAATCATGTTGGGAAAACCCAGAAAGTTGCCGGTGACTAGTTTCGTTGCTAAGCAACCGTACCATCTGGCGTCAGCTCTCGCTTGGTTGCTAGGAGACGGCACGTCGGAATGCGGTAGCAGGTGGTGGCTGTGGCTACGCAGTTGTAGGCAGTTGTAGTATGAGGGCCTGAGCTTTCACCATTTATGAGGGCCTCTACTGCCACCATTTATGAGGGCCTCTGTGTGCCAGTAACAATTCCTTTTACTCTCATACTTATTACCATTGGTAGCGTGACGATAGGAGGCTCGTGGGTAGGTGTAATGATAGTATCAAGCAATAGGGAAGAAATAACGGTAAATACTGTAGGTAAATAATAGACACAATTATACAAATACAAAGTTTATTTAAACATGAATATGAAATTAGGAGAAAGAATTTATTTGTACCAACCGACGAAATCTAGCACTAGGCCCTCAGGCTCAACATACTCACACCATTACTGGGTGGACATAATAACACTTCCAACCCTACTGGGTGGACATATTCAATAACACAACTATTTTAGTCACTTAGCACCATAAAGACCAGGGCAACTGCCACTACAACACTCAGTCGTCGGGGGTGATACTCAAGCAACAGCCATGGGGTCCAGCCACCATGGAGTACTTTCCGACGAACTCTGGAGATCCCAGTGGATTAATTCCACCACACAAATAGCCCTACTGAGTTGGACACTCATCCACCAATGATGGGGGCTGGTAGTGGTGTGAGGCGTGGTGATCTGGGGCCACCTCGCAGACCGAGCGTTAGGGCCAGACGAGCCAGCTATGGGGGCTATAGGTAGTCTGAAGTGTCTGACGGCCGGGTCTCACGAAGGTAACTGATCCTACTGGACCTCGGACATCTCCCCAGACATAGTGGATACAACATCCACGCTACAGACACGACCTAGGCTGCGTTAGGGACCTGTATGGATGAAGGGACGGGCACTCACTGACTGTGACAACAACATCACGTTTCAGGGGACGTTAAAGACGTAAATATGACTTCACTCAGAGCATATCAACTACGTTACTGTAACACTTGCACAATCAACTATTAATTGGGTCAAATCACTTAAAGAAGGGCAAATTACAACACAGCGTGGAATGGCATTCCTGTATGGATGAAGGGACGGGCACCCACTAACGGTAGAAATGCCCGCGGGGCCCTCACTCAAACCAGACCAGGGAGCCCACCTACTTCTATTCCGATGAATTAATTTACGGTACACTCTGACGTTCAAACTGAGACTATGAACTCATTTTCATTCCCTACTATTATCTTCACTAACAATGCTCTGACTCAGCTGTCAAAAGCAAAATTAAATTGATTACAAAGGGTTGGATGGCAACAGGTCCCAGCATACAGCGTCTGCTACTAAATCCGTGGATTATATTCAAAGTTTCCATAAGACAAAGACGGGGAAACAGAGAAAACGGGGGATGTTTCCACTGGGGGACTCAAGAGGGTTTTGTGGACGTTTGAGCGTAATATGAATCCTTAAGGTTTTCAGGTTAGCCGTCATCACGATCATTACAGTAGGGGAGACGTCCACTACAACACAAACATCTTGAACCCCACAGTACGCTACAACCCCCTCTGAGCACCCTCACCAACCAGGTCTCCCTACTCAAGCTTGTAACCACGTTGCCTCCTCCCAGCACCAGCCACCAAGCTGCATTGTACATCCAATATAATATGTATACAGAGAGCACATTGTGAGTTTCCTTTCTCCATCCCATCCTGGGTGTGAACCAATATCCCGTACCCCACAAGGTCTCCCACTCCTGACCACCCACCTTTACAACGGGCCCGGTTTTTTTATTCTTATTTATTGTTGACTGATTGACTTTTTTTTCATTTTGTATTTCTTTCCATATCTTTTCGTATTGTGTCCAAATAATAGTTCTCCTAATTTTATTTTTTTCTGAAAACTGTATTATACAACAGTTATCCCCGAACTGTGGCCCAATAAATCAAAGGAACTTAAGAACCTTAATAAACAATGCGGCGATGCTCAACCCCAGCCACCTCCTTATCATGGGGGACTTTAACTATGGCGACATCGACTGGAGAAACGAGTCAACCCCGAATGACTTGAATAATCCTGCTACTCTTTTTGTAGAAACTCTGAGAGATAATTTTCTGTTCCAACATGTGAGAGACCCGACACATTACAGAGGGGAGCAAACACCCAAGCCACTTGACCTCATCATAACAAACGAGGAGGGTATGGTGGCCAAACTGGAACACCTTGCCCCAGTTGGCACCAGTCACCATACAGTGTTGTCATTCAGATTTAACTGTTACCTAGTTCAAGATAAGGCCAGGCCAAGGTGCAAATATTACAAGGGAAATTACAATGGGATGAGGGAAGAGATGAGGGGTATCAACTGGCCTGACTTATTAAGGTACAAGATCGCAGACACTACGCTGAATATCATAACTAGTAAAATGACCATTTGATCGATAAATATATACCCAAGACCAAACCCAGTGCTTCTAGGAATACGAGGGGATCCCTACACATGAACCATGCGGCGGTCGACAAAATTAAGAAGAAAACCCAGAAATTCAAGACGTGGGTTGGGTCAAACGATGAGCAAGACAGGAGGATGTATGCAAGAGCCAGAAACCAAGCAAAGATAGAGTGTAGGAGGGCTGAAAAGGAGTTCCAAAGGCTGGTTGCACGCGAGGTCAAGTCAAACCCAAAGGCGTTTTACCGCTATGCAAAGTCGAAATTGAAAACGCGAGTAGGAGTATCAGACCTGAGGCTTGAAGATGGTAGTTACGCAGATTCTGACCAGGATAAAGCTGAGGCATTGAACAGCTTCTTTTCCTCAGTGTTCACAAGAGAGGATGCAACTAACCTTCCTGCGTTTGAGGACAGACGGTTCGACACAGCACTGACCCACATTGTGTTCACAGAAGAGGGTATTAGAAATAAACTGTCCAGGCTAAAGGTCCATAAGAGTCCTGGACCTGACATGGTGCATCCTAGAGTGCTAAGGGAGCTGTGCAACGAGCTTGCAGAGCCCCTGAAGATTCTGTTTTGTAAATGCCTGGATGAACAAATGGTCCCCAGTGAATGGAAAGTGGCTTATGTGAGTCCTATCTTCAAGAAGGGCGATAGGCACTCCACGAACAACTATAGACCGGTGAGCCTGACCAGCATAATATGTAAAGTACTTGAGAGTATTATCAGAGATGCAGCGATGGAACATCTACTACGAAACAACCTTGTAAAAGATTGCCAACACGGTTTTATGCCGGGGCGCTCTTGCTTGACACAATTGCTCAAGGTATTGGATATTTGGACCTATATTCTAGAACGGGGTGGTAATATCGACAATATTTACCTAGATTTTGCCAAGGCTTTCGACAGTGTACCCCACGAAAGGCTGAAAATCAAACTGGAAGGGTACGGAATTCGGGGAAATGTCCTAGCGTGGATAGAAGACTTTCTACATGACCGCAAGCAATGTGTGGTGATTAATGGCACGAAATCGTCATCTGTACCTGTAACAAGTGGGGTACCGCAGGGTAGTGTATTGGGCCCGCTGTTGTTTGTTTGTTTCATAAATGATATGCCTGACGTTGTACACTCCTCCATACAAATGTTTGCCGATGACGCCAAGTTATTTCGGGAAATTAAGAACCAAGCGGACTGTGAAGAGCTGCAGAAGGACCTCTGTGGGCTCCAGGAATGGTCGAAGGAATGGCTGCTGAGATTCAATGTCACGAAGTGTAAGAGGATGCACCTGGGGCGTACCAACGGTAAGGAGGCGTACCATATGTCCCAACGGGATGAAGAAAATGTACTAGTTGAGACTGTGTGTGAGAAGGACCTAGGTGTGTATGTTGACAATGAGCTGAAGTTCTCGGGCCATTGTGAGAAGAAGGTAAATCAGGCAAATAAATTATTGGGTCTTATAAGAAGGTCGTTCAGATATCTAGACGGTCCGTCCCTCGTGACGATCTTCAGGAGTGAAGTGCTTCCCCATCTGGAGTACTGTCACCCCATCTGGTCCCCGAGATATGCTAGGGACTGTCAGTTGGTTGAAAATGTTCAAAGGAGGGCCACCAAACTGGTGCCTGCACTTCGGCATCTCAGCTACCCTGAGAGATTGGAGCGCCTGAACTTGCCTAGCTTATACTACAGACGGGCAAGGGGGGACCTAGTTGAGGTTTATAAGCATCTCAGGGGGCACTACTCAGTTGAGTGTCCTTACTTGGAGCTGGCGGACGCTCGCCCCACAAGGGGTCACAGCTCAAGATTGAAGAAGCCGCAAGTCCAGAAAACTGTGAGGGCAAACTTTTTCGGAGTGAGGGTTGTAAACTCTTGGAACAATCTACCAGAGAGTGTTGTGACGGCACCGAATGTGAGCTCTTTCAAGAGAAGACTTGACCAACACTGGAGCGGGTTCAGGTACATTCAGGAGCTGGTGCACGCCCAGTATTTGCCAACAGTGCGTGACAGAGACGTGACCGATCGCCCAAGCGGCTAACAAGCCGATCAGTGGCGAAGAGGATAAAAGTAAAGTAATGTCGTATTTCTTAATGATAGTCCGGGAAAGCTAACGCGTTAGCTGTTCCGTGCTTCTTAAAACACCTTACAATAAACACCTTATAGCTGTATGTTATGGTGATTGATTGTGATTGGTGGATCTATTTTCCGCTGTATCACTATCAGGATAAATATTAAACAAACCAAAGGAAGCATTTTTATATAAAAAAGCTATTCATCATTATTTAAGATCATGAGAAGTTTCCCAATGTTCGTATATTTGCTTAAATCACGAAGAAAATTATATTTTCGCTCCTGCGATATGGTAACACTGCGTGCAGGGTTACTCCCAGTCGTGTTATGGTAGTTTAGTTGTGTACCTTTTAAGCTTCAGTCACCTGGTGTACAGTACGTGGAGTTGGGTGTGACGACCGTTGGTGATCAAGGTGTAGTATGACTGGACTTTAGAATTATGCATTATGGAAAGTACAGTACCTGAGAGACGCTGCGATTGTTCCAGGTATAATATATATATATATATATATATATATATATATATATATATATATATATATATATATATATATATATATATATATATATATATATATATATATATATATATATATATATATATATATATATATATATATATATATATATATATATATATATATATATATATATATATATATATATATATATATATATATATATATATATATATATATATATATATATATTGCACCCTATCACCATTTCACAAACTTGACACGACAATCAGTAATGTCTGAGAACAGGACTACAACCAGAAGGGGTTGTTCGATTTCGAGTATTTTATTACGGGTCCGACTAATTACCCAAATGTAGCCGCAATGAAGTCAAATAATGGTCCTACATGAATAAATCGGACTGCCAATCACTTCTCGACTGGTATTTGGTGTCACGAAGCCACATAAAATTGGTAAATTTAATTTAATCTGAGTTAATAGATCGAGTGCATGTACCTAACCTAACCTCGACTAGTATTTGGTGTCACGAAGTCACAAAAAATTGGTAAACTTAATTTAATCTGAGTTAATAGATCAAGTGCATGTACCTAACCTAACCTAACCTAACCTAACACAACTCAGATTCAATTAAGTTTACCAATTTTTTGTGACTTTATGACACCAAATAATAATCGAGAAGTGATTCACAGCCTGTTTTATGCTTGTACGACCATCATTTGACTTCATTGCGGCTACATTTGGGTAATTAGTCGGACCGTTTTATTACATGGTGCCCATAATCTGTTTAATCACCACGTGTCGTTTGTTTACAACTGACCTGCTTGGTCTGAGATGGCTCACGTCCACAAAATATGTAAAATTATACCTTTACCCAATAAAGTTGCTTTCATTGGTACCAAATAACAAAATAGGTACTTTATGTCCGCCCCCCAGCTCGGATGTTAGGTAGGTTTCCTTGGTTGATTAGGTCTGGTTCTATTACATTCTCTATTATTTATTTGTGACAGAAATATAGAGAATGAAAGGTACTCAGAATGATGAGATATATCTAGAACTGGACCCCAAAACATTGTGGAACATTATGGGTAAGTTGTAAAAATCTACCCTATTTTATTAATTTTTTTCCAGGTATTATTGCGTTTAAACATTCCCACTTACTACCGCTAATCCGGTCCAACAAATTACCCAAAAGTACCCAAAAGTATATTAAATCAGGGTAAAATCTTAACGAATATATGTTTTACATCAATAAAACCTGATTAATAATGTTTTCATTGAAATGTAGTCAAAATAATGAAATAATAAACAGCGAAAAACGCTAAATTCCAAAGAGTCACCTATCCAAAATGGAGATATAATTACCGATGTTTCTGTTACTTTGGGGTATTTAACATAGCCGTAGGATTTACTTTTCGTTAGGTTAGGTTAACGAAGTGCATCACGATGGATCTGAGTTATCACCCTTGTTCACGAACTCTTTGGAATTTAGTGTTCGCCAATACTGAAAGTTTTTCGCTGTTTATTATTTCATCTTACAAATTATTTTTACAAAATTACACTAAAAATATTATTGGACATGTTTTGTGTATGTATAACAGATATTTGTTAAGATTTTACCCTGATTTAATATACTTGTGGGTACTTTTGGGTACTTTTGGGTAATTCGTTGGACCCCCGCTACTCTATTATCATATTCTGATGAGACGTCTAATTATAAGATCATTTTCATCTATTACAGTACCGCCGGAAATGTATGTTAATGGAGATAGGAAATTCAAAATTTTCTCGATTTTTTCTATAATCTTAAAAATAATAATAATAATAATAATTAACGGTTTATTGAAAAAATTCTGCAGCCCGAAGGCTGAAAATATACATTGGACATAAATGACTTATTACATACATTGGTGGTTTAACAAAAGCCTTCATTAGAGAAAGGTAAAGGAACATACAGTGAACATACAGATTAATGTAGGTGTTGAACAGCAAACTCGTAGTGTAGTAACTCCCTCCCAGATGGTATTAGGAGGAACTCACGTGGTGTAGTAATTCCCTCGCAGATGGTGTTATGAGGGGTCTCACGTGGTGTAGTCATTCCCTCACAGATGGTGTTATGAGGGACCTCACGTGGTGTAGTAATTACTTCACCTTTCACACTGCGTGTTTCTGCGAGTGTCCTACATAAATCATTACGCGCATGCGTTCCCATACACGTCACGTGACCAATCAAAAGCCTTTTTTTTTTTTTTGCAACCAATTAAAATGATTTTGGGTTTAATTTGTGGTATTTTTGGACCAATCAAAATCGATTTTTATTTTGGGTCTCTCAAATTTTGAAATTCAAGTTCAGTTCCGACCATGGAAGTCTGCGATGGGTGTCACTTGAATTATATGGAGCTGATTGCGAGTTTTTGGGGAAAAAACGAAGAAACTATAGCATTTTTTCGATCGCATGGTGTTCTTCCAACTTCAGTAAAGTGTACTAAGAGCAAGAGTGAATGTAAATATCGCAAAGACCAACATATGTGGCATTGTGTAAGAATCTCAGAATCCAATGACGAACAAGAACCTGGTCTCCAGGCCAACTAAAGTAAGGAATAGGTGATTCCATCATATGGTGAGAGTCAGTTAGGTTAAGTTAGGTTAGGTTAGGTTTTTCTAGTGTGTTTTGGTGTATTTTTTATTCACTTAGCGATTAATTTTTTTTTAAAAACGTCTCGAAAAAATTTGATAAAAAAAAATGGCCAATTTCCAGCGGAAGTGAAGGTCATATTCGGTCGAAACACACACAAATACAATAGAAAGATATATTTTTAACTTTGTAACAGATGGGGAGGTGGAAGTGCAAGTTTACCTTTTTCCACAGGTGTTCTTATCATTATAGTAAGTATTTTAAAAGAGGTGACGGTAAATATTTAGAAGTTGCCAACACCGACTTATATATTGAGTCTTATATAGGGAGAAAAAGAAAAACTATTTTGCCGTAACCTACTTTTGCTATTTTACCGTGAGTGCGCTCTGATTGGCGAAGTACTTTCTGTTTAATATGAAGGGTGGTCTGACCTTCGGCTAGGGAGTTAGGTTAGGTAGTTTTTTGGTGGTTGGTTAGGTCAGGTGCTATTAGCTTCTAGTAAATGTTGCCTTTTTTATAATGATAGAACATCTATGGAAAAAATAACCCAAAAATCGGTGAAGGTGTAGAAAAGGGTGACCACCAGAAGTTGTTTCTTGAACATAAGAATGGAGGAAACTGCAGCGGTCTATTGGCCCATACTGGGCAGTCCCATTTACACCCAACTCCTATCGCTCATATATCCAACCAACCTATGTTTGAAGCTATCCAGCGTATTCGAGTTAATGATGATATTTGGTAACTTGTTCCACTCGTCCACTACTCTATTTCCAAACCAATGTTTACCTATTTCATGCTTAAATCTAAATTTGTCTAATTTAAAACCATTGTTACGAGTTCGCTCCTGGTTGGATAGTTTGAGTACCTTTGTAATGTCCCCTTTGTTTAGCCCTGACTTCCATTTATACACCTCGATCATGTCGCCCCTCACTCTACGTCTCTCAAGGGAGTGCAAATTACGATGCTTTAACCTGTCTCTGTACTCAAGGTCCTAATGCCCAGGATTAGTCTTGTCATTCTCCTCTGAATTCTTTCCAAGGATTCTATATCCATTCTGTAATATGGTGACCAGAATTGAACTGCGTAATCCAAGTGAGGTCTCACAAGTGCAAGATATAGTTTTAAGATGACCTCGCTAGTCTTGTAACTAACACTCCTTTGTATGAACCCAAGTACTTTATTAGCTTTGTTTCGAGCAAATACACATTGTTTACTTGGCTTAAGATTCCTACTTATCATTACTCCTAAATCTTTCTTGCAGTTGGATTTCTCAATAACATCGTTGTTCATCTGGTATCTGGTTTCCCTGTTTACATCTCCTATACTGACTACTTTACATTTGTCCACATTGAATTTCATCTGCCATTTTTCAGACCATTCGAAAAATTTGTTTAGATCTTCCTGTAGTTTTGCGGAGTCCTCGTCAGATTTAATTACACGTCCTATTTTAGTGTCATCAGCAAATTTACTTATGTTGCTGTCTATTCCGATACGGGTATCTATGTCGTTTATGTATATAATAAATAATAATGGTCCAAGAACTGAGCCTTGCAGAACTCCACTAGTGGCGTTGCTCTAATGGGATTTAGTGCCGTTAATGCTCACTTGCTGTTTTCTGTCCTGTAACCACGCCTTAATCCATTTTAGAATATCACCTTTAATGCCATGAGCCTCCACTTTTCTTATTAGTCTTTCGTGGGGGATTCCGTCGAAGGCTTTGCTAAAGTCGAGATATACCACATCATAATTGTGCCCCTCGTCCACTGATTCGAAAACTGATGAAAAGAATGTTAATAGATTAGTTAGACATGAACGCCCACTTGTGAAGCCATGTTGGGAATCATTGATCAACTTGTGCTTCTCCAGGTGATTTCGAATAGGTGTTTGAAATGATTGCTTCCAGTAATTTGCCTACAATTGATGTTAGACTGATTGGACGGTAGTTAGAATATAGTGATCTATCTCCCTTCTTAAAAATCGGTATTACATTCTCTATTCTCCAGGATTCTGGTACTACACCTGCTTTTAAGGACATGTTAAACAACTTTGCTAAGGGCATACTAAGCTCTTCCTTACATTCCTTTAATACTCTGGCAAATATCTCATTGGGACCTGGTGACTTATTAGGCTTCAGTTTGTCTGTTTGCTTATTAACACTGTTACTAGTCACTACTATCTCGTTTAATTTATTTTCTTCACTTTCTCTGTATAGAGTCAGAGCTTCGGGTATCATATTTAAATTTTCGGTGGTGAAAACTGTTGAAAAATATTTATTCAGATTATTGCTCATTTCTCCGTCCTTATCAGTTATCTCGCCGGTATCTGACTGTATTGGTTGAATCTTTTCTCGTGTCTTAGTTTGATATACAGCTAGAC